GGGGGGGGGGATGGGGATGATTTCCCGCTGTGGAGATAGGGATGGGGAAATTTTCATCCCCATTAGCAAGGACGGGGCAGGGACGGAGAGAGCACTCCCCACCCCGCGGGACCCCGATCCCCATCCCGTGGGATTCCCACTAATATATATGTATATATGTATATATATACACATACATCTATATATTAATATTTTTAAAAATATGGTTGAATATGTTTGAATCTTTTCTAATAGGATTATAAATTTTAATTAATTTACTTTTATTTTGTTAAATAAAATAAAAAACAAAAGCAAAATGATTAACATTATAAAAAATCACGGAAAATGGGGATCCCCGTGGAGATAAGAATCCCATGAGGATGGGGATGGGAATAACCTTGTCCATATTAGCGGGGACAGAGACAGGGAGGGAATGGAAGAAGATGCTCCCTGTCCCCACCCCGCCCCGTTGCCATTCCTAACCACAAGAGCTGAACTTCAAGCTGTTATACAATGGATAAGAATGGCCAAATTCCTCAAATTCAAGGAGAATCCATAGCGGTGGTGGGGTGGTGTTGGGGTTGTTAAAGAACAATGAATGAAATAGATTGTTGGAAGTATAGATGTTGCATTAGGGAACTCCGCCAAGTGGAAATATGACAATCAACTAATTAATGAAACAGGTTCTACATGAAAGATATTTGGGTGGATGATTTACCTACATTTCACTTTAGTGGTAGTTTAAATCAAAATGAAATCTTGAAATTTCAAATATTTCAACAAAATTGAAAATTGTAAAGGGTGCTTGACTGGTTGAACAGGCTCTACAATCTTGTTCATCATTCAGCCTAGTTCACCTTTGGGTTTCCACCTTGTTCGTTCAGCCTTCTTTTTGCTCATAGCAGGTATGAAAATTGGGATGGTTGGGTTTTAACACTAAAGTCTGTAACATCAAACTGAATGCATTTAAGAAAGCTGTAGGGTGGCTCCATTAATGACCATGTGCAACAGTAGTAAATGGCAATGCTAGTTAGCAACGGAGTACCAATCCTAACAGTCTACCTGGAAAGGGATCTTATGGATTGGTTCTTGTGTATTCCCTCTATCTAGGAGTGGCCACGAGCCGAGTTCTTCATAAGTTATTTGAGCTTGGCCCGTGAAAAGTTTGGCTCAGTTTGGTTTCAACCGAGATTCGAGTCAAACTCGAGCCTAATTTACATGCTTGTTTATTAATCAAGCTGAGCTCGAGCCTAATAAATGTAGGCTCCTGAGGCTCACGAGCTGGCTCGAATAGCTACATACATATATACATACATATAATAATAATAATATTAATAAAATATAAAATTATAGAAAATAATATGTATAATAATAAATTTATATATATAATATTTTTATTTTTATATATAATAATAACTAATTATTATAATTCTTAATTTTTTAAATATCAAATAAAAAATATTTTTTATATGTAGTTTTTTTTTATTTTTATAAAACATTTTTCTCAAGTCGAGCTCAAGGTTCTAGATTGAACCGAGCTCGAGCCTTGTACTACCTTGGCGAGCCGAGCTCAAATAGCTAGATATTCGGCTTGGCTCAGCTCGAATCCACCCCTACCTATATCCCACATGAACTTGTGGTATACCATTTATTAATGGCTTTCACAAGTAATTGGCCACTTAAAGTTTTAAAATTTTGATATTAAATTTACAAGAAAAGAGGGCTTACTTTGAATAAAGGGCAACAGTTTTTAGGCTCAAATCTGCACCATTAATAGGGCATAGCAATAGAAATTTGCTGGGCCATTTTCAGTCCCAACCCAATTTTCCATGTAGAAGATTATGTTTGGTTTGAAGGAAAAAGTACAGAAAGGAAAGGAAAATTAGGGAAACCTTGACAAATCTCGTATAGGTTTCCCTACCTTTCCTTTCTTTTCCCTATTTTTTCCTTCAAACCAATCATAGCCTTAATAGATTGACACCCTACTAGTAAAATGGCCATGGCTCTTCCAACACACAAGAAAATTACAAGATCTTGGTCTCAATTGGATTAATGATACCAATATCATAAAAAAAAAATCTCATTTCGATTAATGAAATGAAATCATTAAAATGGGCACCTCAATGGTTGCCCACTTTAGTTAATGCCCTTGAATTAAATGTATTGAGTTGTTTATTTGGTACATAGTCTAATAAAGAACGACAAAGAAGACTAGAATGATCCTTCAATGGATGAATTCTCAATAAACCACTAACTGCCTACCGGGACCTAGCTATGATGACAATCCAGTACTCAACAAAAATAAAGGAATGGAAGCACCATTTTCTGAGAAAATGGTGTCTTTTTTGTTTGGAAATGTTGCTGCCACTATCAAGTAACATTTTCTGGAGCAACAACTAAAGGGATAGGAGATCCATTATATGGATGGCCGAACCTTGTAGGAAGGTTGGGCAAAATTTCGAAAAAATATCTTTACTCCCATCTGGGAATCCTATTCCCAATTTAGAAAACTGCATTTTCGAGGTTCGTTCTTGATGAAGGAAGATTTGGCCCGACCTCGTAACCACTCAACACGTGGCAAAGGCAACAGCTCGGCACAACAGTACGCCTAAGGCGCGAGCTCCGAAAAGAGGAACCCGCGGTCCAAACTCCCCACAAGGAGCCTGAGCTCTCCCTTTGACCCCGAGCCTTACGAACACAAAGGGCAACAACCCAAACTGGCCCGCCCCATGGCAGTTCGGGCCACACCTCTATCTGAACTCAAGACTTCACCTCGCACACCACTCCAGCACTTCGCCCCAGGACGTCGAACTGAACAACCGTACCGTACCTGACACTGAAGGAGCCCGTATCCTGAGGTGGTGCACCTAACTAACTTGGGATCTAACGCTTGACAGCCGCACTTCAATGGCCACCTGCCACCGCCATCTCCAGTTACAGAGATGGCTCCGACAAAGAGAGCAGTGGCGGTTCTGCCCCAGTAGAGGTGATGACACCCGAACTGCAGGAGCGCAAAGGTAATCATACCCGACCTGATAGAAGCTTGGGAGTGAGTGCGCGAAGTGGTTATAAAAGGCCCCCTTCCCCCCAAGAAGAGAGGTATGTAATAACTTTGCGCCATCTGGTTTTTATCTTGCCTTTGAGGAAATACTAACTTGAGCTTTGGAGCATTCTCACCGGGTTCTTCCCCAGAGATTACTCGCTTTCTCCTCCATTTCAGGCACCTTTTGCTCCAGCCCGAGGCAAGATCGTTGACAGGTAGGACCGACTGGATTGTGCACCATCAATTGGCTCCGTCTGTGGGAAACGCTTCTAAAAGCCTCCCTCTAAAACTCTCATAACCCCTTTTTTCCAAGAAACCCCAACACTCATGGCTTCTTCCAGCAATGCCGGACGTGGCACGGAGATGAATGCCACCGGGGAACAACTTCAAGTCCCCATGGTGTGCATCGGACAGTTCACCATTCCCCTTTCGGTGGATGGGATCCACAGCCTGAATGCGCCATGAACAGTGGCGCCAGTGAACCTTCCCGCCGTGAACATCCCCCTTCCTTCTCTCCCTATCGAGACAACCTTTACTGAACCAACTGTTGTTCCCCTGGCAACCAGCCAGAACCAGTTTGATGACTTGATGCAATGCATGCGGGCAATGCAAGCCCAAATGCAACAGTT